GAGATCCGCCCAAGTCGTCGCTTGAAACTCGAGCAGACTTTCCTTCAACTTCCGGGAAGCGTCCGAACTTCTCTGATTTAAACCTTTGTTGAACGCTTCAGCCGCCCATTCATCTGGGCTTGCCGGTAGTAACATGCTTTCCTTCTGGAACCGGGTATCGAACTCTCTTAATAATTCGGATTCTCCCTGCGCGATCCTAAATATGTCTGTCTTTTGAGCTTGTACCTTTCTGGCACCGGCATGAGCTTTGATGAAAGAATCCGCGAGCATCTCAAAGGAATCTATGAAATGCTCGGGCAATAATGAATACCACGTTAAAGCTCCCATCGTGAGAGTCTCATCAAATTGTTTCAGCAACACGACTCAATTTCGTAAGGAGCCAAATCATTTCCTTTCACTGATGTTGTGTAGGTGGTAATGTGCTCCTGTGGATCTGAAGTTTCGTCATACTTTGGCACTTCGGGCATTTTGAACCGCTTCGGGATTAATTCGAGGGTTGAGCTCGGTTTATACGGTAATTGAATATACTTCTTCGAGTTTGGGCCTTTTAGTACTGGTGGTGCGCCGGGGATTTGATCCATGCAAGCGTGTACTTCCTTCATGAACAGCAAAAGTTCATCCTTGAACAGATCGTTCTCATTGTTGAGGCCGGATCTACTCCCCACAGCCCTGTCGGAGCCAACTTCGCCCCTAGGAGTGTTATTATCAACTCTCTGCATCGTCTGGTTCGCGGGAACATCAGGAAGAACTGGATCTCACCTGTTGGCATTATTTGAGGCACCCGATAGCACCTGCTTCAGTTCTGTCATAACCTGATCCTATCGCGTGAGATGGCCTAGAATGATTGCCTGTTACTCTTGCAGGACCCTTACTGTATCCGCCACATGCCCCTCATCAGCATCATCAGGAGTTGCCTCCCGAACCTGTCGAGGGTACCGCTTGTCATGTACCGGTATGGCGTCGTTCCCCTCATTGTGAGTGTCACTGATTGAATCCTCAAAATGAGGTTGTTCCTCTTGAATTTCAGGGTTGCGTGTGCCGTTAACAGTGTTATCTGCTATTTCTTTTGTGATTTTTGCTAAGACAAAATAATCAAACACGTTAGTAAAAAAAGGCAAGGATCAATTTAATCGCACGACTGTCTAGGTCCCACGGTGGGCGCCAAACTGTTTACCCGTAAAATGGTATAATTAAATTTGTTCGTAGTTTCTAGACAAGTGAATTAATTTGATCCAAAAGATAATCAAAATAACTGATGAAATATACAATACTTAGCCTTAGAATGTAGATGGAACGACAGATCTGATGAGTCCGGGAACAGAGTTTCCAGGTATAACAATGATGAGATCAAAAGCGAGAAAATAAAATTGTATTAAAATACTGTATAGAATGTAGTGTAAGTTAGCCAGAAAATTCGTCCTTTACAATGATAACTGAGCTCTCTATTTATAGCTATGTCTAGGGAAGGAAGTCCTAGGATCATGCCCTTATTTAATGTTAATTTTGAGGGTCATTGATGAAGATGTAACGTTAGTCATAAATGCCAAATTCTTTGTAACGGGCCATCATCCTTAATGCTATAAAATATTTTATATTAAATGTTATCGGGCGCAAAGCATTTAATACTCATTTTATAATCGTTATTCCTTCCGGTTACAAGCGGAATAGCTATGTTCGGTGGCCATTCCTATCTTGTGTTCCACCTGTCCTTCCTTTAAGCGGCCACATGTCATATCGTATTTTTCCCTATACAATAGTTTAATTTGTATTTTGCTTTAAATTTTTTTATGTAAACCCTGCTGTCGAAAAGTTTACTGTTCATTGTTATAAATATCACCGAACAAAGAAACTTCTTCAAATCTTGAATCTCATTACTAAAAATCCTGGAGTCGGTGCTATACAAGAATTGTTTCGTTTATGTTTGCACGATGCCGTTAAGTGTATGAAGAGTGTTGGCATTGCATTTGGAGTGCTTGCACGAGGTTGTGGCTAAACTTGGTGAGGCAGCCTTGAGGACCGCTCAGGCTCAGCCAAATGCCCTACGGTGCCAAGTCCAATGCTAGGGCCATGTCAATATGCTTATAGAAGCTAACTTTTTTGGGTAGGGGAAGGAGAAATAGGAGAGAGGATTATAAGGTGGAAAATGGAACCCTCACCAAAAAGTTGGAAGTTCAGGTAGCCAACCAACTAAATTATTAAGATTCCTCTATAAAAGCTATTTTATTCATACATTAAATTAAAAAAAAATTAAATACCTTCTAGGCTCTTAAAGAAATTATCGCCTAATAATTTTTTAATTAATTGTGATACCATAATCAAATAATGGGCTGAAATTGTTGGTTTCCAGGTCGTGGTCGATTTCTTCTTGAATATAAGATTACTGTTTATGTTTCTTCTTCTTAACATATTGGTAAGTTTATAGTTTAGTGTTTGGTTCTGTGAATTTAGTTTGCTAAAAGTTTTATTAAGAATCTTCTTGAAAGTAGATAATCATATCGGCAATGCTTAGTATGAGACATATTTCTCTACAACAGCAACTTTGTTACAAATGTTTAAGCAATTGACCCATTAATAGTTTTCTGTAACTTAGTAGTGTTATAATAACTAGCTCTAGTAAGTGGACCATTTATTTAGTGAAAGAAATAAATTCTACTGCGCCAAATAGGCACTAGTTTTTAGTATCATAAGTATATACTATATCCTTCGTCCTTATTCATGTTTGATTGGGCACATAATTTCAGAAAAAAAAATATCAAAACTTATAGTTCAAAATCAGTATAGATTTGTGTGGCTATAAATCATCTTATTATAATTGAGTATAAAATGAAAAGTTTAAAATTAAATTGTTTCTAAATACGAATGTATGATTTTTTGAAAATTTGAACCTTGTTATCCCAAGTTTGTGTTCACTAATATTGATAGCTTTGGAGAATTGACAGAGTTTGCTGTTCAAAGAATTGTTAATTTCTTCTAAGTTTATCAAATTTGCACGCCAAATTAAATTGATTAAATATCTATATCAGCTTAGACAGATAATCTTGGAGCTCAGAATATATCATACAATTTTCTCATAGTTCTTGACATTATCAATATTCTCATGATGCATGAAAGGAGGATATGGGATTGCTGAATTTCAAGCTTCACTAACTTTGATGCAAGATTCATTTTCACGACATTTAAGGCTCTCATTAGTACGTAGATTAATTATGATCGTTTCCATTCAGCAAGCTACAAATTTAATTTTGTGCAGTGTTCGTGAAGGCGACGGAACCGGTTGTAGTGCCATAAAATACTCTTAACTTGGCTTTGGGATTTGATTGGGATTTTAAAAGGACAGATAATTCATCCTTTTTTCTGTAATTCATGTTCCAGGGGCTGTGTTTGATCTCCGTGTTTGACCAGCTATCAGGCCTATGAAACAAACTATAGCCTACGGGAGGAGAAAACGGAGAGGGGAATAAGGATAGTTGTGCACATCATTATCATTAATTCATTATTAGTTGGATTTAAGTTATATACCTTTCGTTCTATTTTATATGACGGTGGTTAATTGGACATTAAATTAAATAGAGAAATATAATTTTTTGGAACTTACATTATTAAATATGTTATGATATTTATGTGATCACAAAAATATATTTTCTTTTAGAATAAAATAATAAATCTAAAATTTAGTTATTTTAAAATATAAATAGCCAAATTTTTGAAACTAATGGAGTATAAAAAGAAAAGTACTGCATAAATTGAAAAGAAGTATACATTAACATAAGTGCAATTTAACCTATTATAACATGTTATTTAATTATATTTTTTAATTATCAGATCATATTTGTTAAGAATATCAATTATTATTACAAATAATTTAAGTTGATAATATAAAAATATTATACACCGGGGGAGGCAAGACGGGGGAAAGAGATAGCGTATGAATCCTTTTTTGTCTGAAATGAAATAAATTAATTGAAGAAAAGAAAACGAAGGATGACTAACATCCAGCTCCATGAGGTGATATTTTAAGGACATTAAGACCTTGGGTTGTGCATCTTTTGTTGGATCCCGCGGACTTTGAGGATATTGCTTTCTTTTTCATTCAGCGCTCACGTGTATTTCTATGCCTCCAATTAATCAACTAAACAGCTGACTCCTGAAAGCTGAAATTAAGAGTCAAAATGACAATTTATTTTGACGCCGTTGGAACAAATTGTTCTTATAATTCTCTGACCAATGATTTTTATTCCTTTACTTTAAATCTTCTAAGCCATGCATAATCAGTAATTTATCAATTGATTTCTTTAAATCATAATCTTATGTTGGTAAAGTAGTTTCACTTGATACTACAACACCTAAGATTCAGTTTCAAACAACTTAAAGATTGATTATATAAATTCTCATTGACTCTTTTTTTCCATTTAAATTCATTTTAGACCAACATTATACAAAATAAAAATAAAAAGCATTAGAAGTTCTTTATATTTTTCAAATTGGCACAAAAATCTCTGAAACAGGCAGGCAGGATATTACTGCTTTATTGCAGAATGTAATCTCCCTTCTTGATGAGTTAGTTAAAAAGAAAAGGCAGAAGAGATAAACGAAAAGAAGTCAAGAACTGAAAAGGGGAATAAAGAAAGAAAAAGAAAGCTAATATAAGTGTGTCAATAATAAGAGGCCAGTTTAAGTGTCTTTTATTGCGTCTATAATACCATACATGATGGACCTGTCAATTTTGTATTAAAATTTATGATCCTCCTGTTCTAATACGTAACCCAAATACTCAATGCATGATTAAATTAACCAATCTCCAAGTAAGTGTTTCTGTCAACGGATAGGAAAATGATAAGTTGGAAAATTAAGTTAAAAAAAGGAAGAAGAATGGGAAATATACATGTAATACTCCTATGTAAAAGGAAGAAAAAAGGAATGTATTAGTCTTTGACTTTGACTGTGCATGGCTAAAGGGATATATGGAGAGAGATAACACAAACAAAACAATATTTACAGTAGTTAAGCAGATTTTCATCACTTATATGCGGCGAATTCCAGGATGGGGTCTCCGGTTCAACGACATTTTCCAAAGTCTGGTAGTAACTTCTTCCCTTTTATTTCCACACCACAATTCACACGAGACTAGTACACATAACATCCAATTAATTTCGTTGTCCACATAACACCCCACTTCTTTCCTTATTATTTTTCCTAAGTTTTTAACATTCTCGCTCCAGTTTCTCTCTCCATATATCATTCACCCTAAAGATCTGATCGCAGTCTTTTCATTCATTCTCAAAATATATCTTTTTTCTTCATCTCAAATTTTAGGAAAAAAAACTTGCTTGCTTTTCAAGTTCGAACAAGCTAGACCATCCTGTTGCTAACACTTTTTCCTCGTTTTCACTGAGCGAGCGATTAATCTCCCGGAGTATTATCACTCTTAATTAATTATATTCTCTTGAAGACAAGTGAGAAAAGTAATTTTTCTTTAGCAGTGAGGAACAGAGACTAACTATTGATCAAGTTAGTACTGAGTCGTTTTTTACTCTCTTTATTTTGATTAGTAAAGCACTTATTCGTGGAACCCGTAATTTTGCACTTCTCTTTTCATTCATGAAAAGAAAGATATTCCCCCTTCGTGCATGCAGTCTGCAGTCAGATTTGACCCTGGGGCCTGAGGGGTGCTTCAGTCATATATTACATATAAAATTAGTTTTCCTTTTTCACTTGACTTTTAATTCTAGTTGCTCTAATATATTGCTTTGCTCGTATACTTTGTGCGTCTTGCAGGATAGAATATACGTTTAGCAATTTCGAGTGAGGATATCAGCATAATGATGTCAGGAGCAGGAAATGGACAGCTTTCAGTTCCTCCGGGGTTTCGTTTCCACCCCACAGATGAGGAGCTTCTTTATTATTATCTAAGGAAGAAAGTTTCCTACGAAGCAATAGACTTGGACGTTATTAGGGAAGTCGATCTTAACAAACTTGAACCATGGGACCTCAAAGGTTAGTCCATTTTCCTATTTTACTTCTTGCTTTTTCTGAGTAAGATATGCTACAACTACAATTATTTGTATCTGAACAATGGTAACAGGACTTAAATTTTTTTCTTAAAAAGAAAGAAGCTAGAAAACGCACGTCAATTATTCATTCATGCAGTATTGTGGATATGTGAAGGGAAGAATGTGGAGGATGTACTGTACTGCCTCCTCATTCTACAGTCTCGTATAACTTTCTTTTTTCAGGTAATTAACCTAAAAGGCAAACACGGAATAAGAATAGTCTCCTTCACCACTACATTTAAATCTTCTCCATTTAGGGAACTTATTTAGTTAGATATCGATAATGCTGGGAAAGTCCGTAGATCAAGTTAATCGATAAAGCACTCATTTGATTTATCAATAGAAAGCGGATTTGATCATAAACATGAGAGTTCTCTCTCACCAAAAATGTATTGTACTTCAAAAACATAAAGAATCTCCTATAATCACCAAAATTTCCAAGGATCTAAATCAACTTCTTCTAAAGAACAAAATCATACACAATGACTTTATAATTATATAGGGGAATATATATAAAACCAGATAAAAAGATGATTTATTCAAGATTTGGCTTATATCCGCTGTGCAGATAAATTTTTACAAAATGAAATATCATATTGAAAATAGAGCTTACACCATGACCAACTTATGTAACTTTTGTAATATCAATAAACACGTAATATCTACCTAACCCCACCTGTGCCAGTTGATTAAGAAAGGGGGAATAATGCAAGCGTTATCTCAATTTGGCCCACTTGTTGTCAATACAGATGCATAAACATGTAAATATTTACTCAAATTAGGTTAATGTGGTGGATAAGTTGACTGTATTCTGCAGCCTCGCCTAAGCGCATTTTATCAATATATAAGTATAAGAATAGCTTGCATGCACGTTTATCCACACAAGCATATGCTAAATTCAAAATTGATGACATGCAGAAATATGTAGAATAGGATCAGGTCCACAGAATGAATGGTACTTTTTCAGCCACAAGGATAAGAAGTACCCAACAGGGACTCGAACAAATAGAGCCACGGCAGCTGGATTCTGGAAGGCGACAGGGAGGGATAAGGCCATCTATCTTAGCAACTCCAAGAGGATTGGGATGAGGAAAACTCTTGTATTTTACACCGGACGCGCACCT